TATTATAACGATTTCAAATGAATCCGTGTCTCGTTGCTGTATCATGATTATATACTTTGGGTTAACCTTTAAATTGAACTGAAGTCGACCACATTTTAAAAGTTGTGACCAATTTCGTGGAACGAACCCCAGTTGGTTCAAAGCAAATATCACAAAGATTTAGATTTTTTCAAGCGTCTTGTAACCATGCTTGATTCTTTTGCTTTATAGTTTCTCTCGGAATACAACAGCCTTCCAGAGCTGAATAAGTACACCTGGTATATGCTGCCTGTTGCAAATCCCGACGGTTACGAGTATTCACATACATCTGTAGGTATTACTATATCTGGTCTTGGACATAATAACGTAAATACTTCTGATGCTGATTGGTGTTAAATCCCCGTTTTTTAGATCAAGTGTAGCCATGTTGTCAGTTGAAATAATTATATAAATATTTGGACTTGTGTAAGACATGCATACATTTCTTAAAATCTTGCGTAAACCTCTATGTTAGGCCTACTGTAAATTTAGATCAAGCAATGTTCATCATAAAGTAGAGAGGGTGTGATTTTTCAGTTGAGTGTTAGAGTCGCGTTCTTGATGTTCGCTAGTTAAAGATATATAATTTAACGTCAAAATATTATGTGCAAATATACATGTATATAAGTACTGCGCTTATACATACTAATATGTCAAATTTCTGAAAGTGTCATGACCATGAGTTCTCCTGTTTTCAACACAATTCAACACTAAAATTAATTTTCTTCCTCTGTCTAACTGTTTTTATTTTTATGCATTGTTTTCATTTATTTATTTATTTATTTATTTATTTATTTAAGGATCGTCTGTGGAGAAAGACTCGTTCACCTCAGAGTTGGGGATGTCGGGGAGTAGACCCAAACAGGAACTGGGATTCCCACTTTGGAGGTAAGAAGCATATTAAGTGGAGAACATCTCATACCACACCAAGTCTCGCGAATAAGCCAGAAACCAAGCATGATTTGAAAAATCCCGAGTTCCCTTACATTTTTTAATTGAACTAAGCCTCCACTGTACATGTGCGCGAGATCCTGGTCGTTTGTTACTGATTTTAATTTATTGCGTGCGAACAATGTAGGTGAATTGAGCACCAAGGAGCTTGCACTAATGTACGTGCGTATCTGTCTATTCTGTACTACCCTCTACCAGGGCGACTGATAGATTTTTTACAGATATTCACAGATATGTCTCTAGATAAATAGATGGTCATTTTAGTTCTAAGACTTAGAACCAAATGACCATTAATCTATCTATCTATCTATCTAGAGACATATCTGTGAATATCTGTAAAAAATATATCAGAGACATATCTGTGAATATCTGTAAAAAATCTATCAGTCGCCCTGGTAGAGGGTAATTCTGTATAAAATCCCACATGTATTCCATAACTATAACTGTCACGCCAAAATAGTCAGGCCTACGTCTGCAAAATAGGCACAGTGGTGATTAACAAAAAATTTAATGCGACCTATTTTAAGTTTATCCAGCAAAATCTTATTTTTAAACACATTTAGATTATATAAATGAAATTTTAAATGGCACTAATGGGGCGGTAAAAATCAAAAGCATGAAACCCGGCTCCACACCGAAAAAATTATCATCAAAGTCACGCCTTCCAAGTTGTCATATCTCTCAAATTTGTATTGGCACTTTGAAAGATAGTTTTGGACGAAGTTTCATTCTATTTGCGAGTTATCTGTATAGATAACACAAATGCTTCGTGCCTATTTTGGCAGCGCACATATTTTGTCGCGACACGTACACCAATTAAGATTTCTACCAATAATAATAATAATTATAATAATAATAATAATTATTATTATTATTATTATTATTATTATTATTATTATTATTTGATATAAAACATATTAATGTCGAGTCTAAAATCCAGTAAAAATGTTCAGTAGACTTTGCATAAAAACACGAACTTTAGAACACAATAGACCTACTAATACTAAGTCTAATTTATATGCACCTTCTCATAAAATTGTGAGAATGCTAGGCATTACTAAACATTTTTCAACATGACGTGACAACATATAACATTATAATCCTACTTTTTTAAGAGGCTGGCACCAGCACTTTCCCTTGCTCCGATATTTACCCCGGTACTGGGCCGTTCTCTGAAAAATGTACCCAAAATATAAGGGACTTCATCAACGAGCACAAGGACCGGTTGAAGATGTATCTGTCTTTCCATTCCTATTCCGAACTTTGGCTGACACCATGGGGTTGGGGCACGGAAAAACCCTCGGACAATGCTGAAATGGTAATTTTAGATTTTAGACTTTAGTTCTGTGCCAACAATTTAAAATTTTTTTGGATGGGGGGGGGGGGGGGGAAAGGGGAGTAGGGGACCCTTTTATCTTTTTGGTCGACCCAACTTAGAAAGGGCACAGGCCATCAATCAAATATTTTGAAGATGGCGTTGACTTTAAGGGGCATTATCTGGACTTTTACTCTGCATTTTCAAGCGTCTAAAATTTGATGGAGATTCTTAATGTGAATTTGAGTCTGGTGACATGTGATTTTGGGAGAAATAATGATGAAACGAATGTAGAGCCCAATCTTTATCCTGTTGTAACCTTAGCATACCCACCCCCAGCACACACTAGCATGTGGGAAAAACACTTCTTAATTGCTAATCACAATCTGTCTTTTATAAATTTAGATGCGTGTGGCTAATCTCGGCAAGACAGCTGTACAAGGGATTAATGGGAAATCTTGGACAGTTGGCGCCCCACCGGATATTCTATGTAAGTTACGATATATTATATATTCAGAGAGAGAGAGAGAGAGAGAGAGAGAGAGAGAGAGAGAGTCTCTAAATCTGTTATATACACTGATATAAATAACAAAAAAAAATAAATTTCAGATGCTGCGTCGGGTGGATCCTACGACTGGGCTAAAGAAAAGGCAGGAATTAAATATGCGTATACACTTGAGCTCCGTCCTGATGGCAATGCTTCTAATGGGTTTGTCATCCCGACCTCTGAAATTCTTCCCAGTGGGAAAGAGGTTTATGCCGCCGTGAAGAAAGTCGCCTCTGAGCTTATTTAATAAGTTATTTTCAACATTATGGTAAATTTGGTGAAACTGTAAGCGACAAAAAGCGGTCTTTACATTGCATTTCTTTATTGGCCAGGAGCTGTGGAAATAAAAAGAAATGCAAGGTTATATGTGGAACAGCAGAGTGATGTTTTCCAAGTTTCTTTCCGTATTCAGACCGATTCAGTTTGGTTGTTTTAATGGGTCAAAATGTAGCTGCACTCAGTCAAGAAAGAAGTCTCCAATACTGATTGAATTGTTTTATTTCAAATTCAAACGTAAAACTGAAAGAAAATGAAATAAAACAAAATAAATAACAGTTACAAAAATGTAGCACAAATATAGAAATACTGAAAACAAATTAAAATACAAGAAAAATAACCTAAAAAATTGATAACTGAAATTTACACGAAGTACATACGGAAGTGTAAGAAAAAGGATAGACAAAAACGTTGCAAAGACCCAAAGCCTGAGAAGTTTACGTAAGCGTTGAAATACACTCAAGGAACACAGCACTCAGTTTTGGAAGTTTTTGGGGGCAGAATAATTTTATTTTTGAGATCCGCCAATTTTATATGAACCCTACATCCATTTCTAATCCTCAGGCAAAATGTTGCGTTTCTTTTTTCCTTGAGTGTAGTTTGCCTTGTCACCGACTTAGTGTGCTAATATCGTTATAAAAGGATAGATCGAAACGTTGTAAAGACCCAAAGCCGGAGAAGTTTACGGTAGCGTTGAAATAGTTTACCTTTTCCTCCGACTAAGTGAGATAATACACTGTGTCGTTGGATTTCTCTGTCCCGTTCCAAGCACGAAAGTGAAGTGAGCAAAAAGAAATATAGAGAAAGCCTTATATATATATATATATATGTATGCTGTGATATGAAAACTGTTCAGTGCAGGGTGTGGTACAGGCATGTGACGGTGCGGTTATGTAAGTGCAGTGGCCTGTAACGTTATAATTAAAAGAGAGAGAGAGAGAGAGAGAACAAAGAAAGACAAAAGAGAAAGAACGGAAAATGTACTTTGCATGAATAATAAGTAAACAAAGGACAAACTCAAAAATAAAATTTCGCGGGCAGTTATACACAAAAGAATCCCATCAATTCTTTTTACAGTTTTGATATTTTGTTAATCTATTAATCTGTTCATTCGTTCATGCATTTACTGATTAATTTATAGTTGCATATTTTCTTAAACCGAGTTAATATTGGGCTAAGACCCTTCAAATGACAATCATGATTGCAAAAATTCAATAATCAAACGTGAAAAAAGCCCTGCAATGCCTGCAATGCGTTAGATGCACTGTTATCCATTCTAGTTGTCAGAACTGGATTGCGTTAGAGAAGGAAAACGCAGCTGTCTATTGTATCGTGGACCGATTATACACCGTGTAGTGGGTTCAAAACTGGACCAAGGAGTTAAAAAAACTCCTTGCTCGGACAAATGATGCAGAAATTCTCTCACTTTTCCTTAATTTCTTTAAATCACGTAAATTGTTTGCCAGTGTTGTAATTAGGACTGTGTGTGTGTGTGTGTGTGTGTAGTATTGGACCCAAGGCCTTTCTCCTTATGCTTTATCCATGCTGCTCCAGTGGGGAAGGGAAAAGAGTTGTCTGGATGTTTATTAAATTAAAAAAGAGGGGAGAGGGGGGCTGGAAAATCTTCTAAATTTTTTTGTAGCCACCAATGCATCCTCTTTCCATAATTGTTGCTCGTTAGGGTCTATAAACGCCCTCATATTTGCACTGTGCTGTTGACACTAAGCCATAGTACTACATGATTGTATTACTAATTAGGGTTAATGCTCATTTCAATCTATACCAATAACCCAACACAAATTTACACATTTCCAAATTTTCTTTTATTTGCAGAAAAAAAGTGACCACGTGAACTATACCTCACTGTACAACTCAGTTAATGCACTTACAATCAACAAACAAGGTACATGTACAATTTTAATGAAACAGGCAGCGGAAAAAAAATATAGTAAATATTTCTTGCTTATAATTTTAAAAAACAATTTATCCTAAGATTAACTAATGAAAGTTGTTTGACTTTCTACAAAAATGCAATGTACCCTGGTTGCAAAACATTAAAAGCCAAATGACAAGCAATTAATATTTCATGAATGTATCCGTCAATTTCAAGAAATGTACCATGTGTAGATGAGACAAATGACAAAGAAATAATGTACATATATGTTTAGAAAAAAAATATCAATCAGGAATTCGCTTAGACCTGAGGGATCTTAAAATAAAATGTACTCTGTAAATAAACTTTTCCTTAAGATAACAATATTTACCAAAATCTACATCACTAGTAGATAAATTCCTTAACATTTTTCACTGCATCCCTGTGACATAAGATCAAATTGTCTGCCATCTCCGATCTCTAATGAAACCAGGTCCTAAAATTACCCTGTAGGAATACATTATACAATGTACAAGCCCTGATGAAAAAAAATCTGCAATATCAGTGAAAATATTGATATCTGAGTGACATAATACATAACAGGTTATCTATCATGTGTGAGTGTTACATTATCAAAATTCCTTGGCTTCCTTTCCATATGCTATAACCCTGTCCTTTGGTTGAGCCCAACCTTAGAAAAAAGAAAAAAAAAAAAAGAATATNTCTGTCAAAATCAGCTGTATGTGCACTAATATAACCCTTCTTGTCCAAAACTAATATCACTTTTAATTTAATATACTACCTTTGGTTATTATATCACACTTATATATGTGGACAGAGAACTCTGAATACTTTTAAATTCTGTTATATGCTTAACCATTGCAGTTGTCAAATTTTCAAGCGGTCTGTATTTCTGGGGTACAATTCTCAACAGAAACTAAATAATCTAATGTCATTTCTAAATGTAAGTTAGTAGTAGAAGTAGTTTGGTGAGAAGCTCGTGATGGCCACTATACCTGCATGTGTACATATTAATAATAGTACTAATAAAGCATCTTCTTCATACATACAATGTATGGAACAACGTGAGATCTTGGGCTTTTAATTCATACAGAGGTTTAGAGTTAAACTATCTCTGAAACAATATGTTAAACAGTTGCAGACATTTAACTGTTAAAGGATGAAGATACCTGATACAATCAAGTCTGCCACTGAAATCAATTAATTTTTCTTCTTTTTTGTCACATTTATTTGGTAATATACAGTCTAAATACATTGTTTTATTTGCAGAAAATATGGCAACGGTTGACAGCTACAAAACTACAGGAAAATATATATCTATTTTCTAATTTCTCCATAGTTGAATAATAACAGTGACTTTTCCAAAAGCACATCAATTTATATCTACATAAAGACTGCAGTCTTATCTTAAAGCAAGAGGTCATTTTGTGTCTTGATCACACACAAAATATAGTCCCTAACAGCTTGTATCAATCATCACGCAAAGTTAATTACAAATCAACAAAGAATTAAGAAAGGTCTCCAAAAACCTTTCCACTTCTTTGACAAATCTTTGTACTCATAAAACCACCTATTTCAGTATTTTTGAATATACTGAAATAATAACAATGACTGTACACTAACCCTAATGCACGACACCATCTGATGAGATCCAAATACTTTTTTCTTTTTGATATACACATACCTACTATCTTAGACATATAGACATTTGGTGTTTGAAACATGAATTTGTACAATGCATTTGTATGTAGATTAGATACTTAAATAAAAGTTTGTATACTCAGCTTTTCTAAGTGCAAGTTTATTCTCCACAAATCCCTCTTATTATAATGTTCTGCATCATTCTTATGTACCTGGAGAATATTCATCAAACATCATCTATTCCAAATTTTCTTGAGATAAACAAATTAGAATTACTAAAGAAAAAATTAAGATAAAGATAAATAAATAAATAAATAAATGAATAAAAATTTCAATACTTCTTATATTTCACTAGTATGAAAAACAAAACATCCTTGACGATCGTTTATGTCTGATTTTGTTCATATTTTGTAAGTAATTAGTTTAAACATGCAGAGCTTGTGTGTCTGGACTTGGGAAATCCACCTCCAGTTTAGATTTTCCCCCAAAAATTTACCCAATGATTGTGAAAGAACAGGCAATGTTGATGACAGCCATTTCTACATAGCCCAAGTTTCTTTTTTCCCGTTTTTCTTTACACAATTTGTAATATTGAAAAATTGAAAAATACAGGCTATAAACACCACATCAGTTATCAACGGATTTCTACCTGCTGAGCATGAAAACACTTCATCCAGTTTTTGCATTTGTATGCTTTACTAATGTCCTAATCTACTACATGTATGTACAGCTGGCAGTTTTTTTCTGGTTTTTCCTTCCTATAAACAAATATGTGGCATCAATTGTGGTCATGAATACAAATAACACTGCTGAGGAGTTCATCACAGAAAAAGGAAAAAAAAAAACGGTAGCTGTTTACATGTTCACATACTTCATGACAGACAGCCCAACATGATGACTCTTCCAAGCACTTGGCAGGGTTTCAAAATCCCAATCACTTATAAGGAATAGCATGCTCCCGTGCTGACATCTATTGAAAAGTTCATTCAACATCGATAACCCTAAAAAATGCAAACACAATGTCACCTTCTCCAGGATGAAATGTGAACAAGTTTATCATCTTTTGTACTGTCAATCAATATTTCAGCCACCACCATTCTATCAAAATAATAAACAAAATATAATGTAAACACCCCTGTTTATCTTGCAGCCTCCGCTTTTGGTTTTTCTGGTGTGTTTGACCTTGACCTTGGCAAACTTGACCTAGATTCTGGTCGACTTGATGAGGTGGTGACTGTATTGATGTGACTGGTGACAGAGGTGGATGCAGTGGTGGTTGCTTCTGTGCTTGCTACCACTGTGTCTGCGCCCCGTGAATGTGTCACCACTGATGATGATGATGAGGAGGAGGATGAAGTAGAAGTAGTGGCAGTTGTGGTGGCTGCAGCAGCTGCAGCTTTGGGATGTTGTGCATGTGCAGCATGGGCCTCGCGTGCCGTTTGTGCCTGTCCACACACATGATGGTGGTTTTCCCAGTCTTTGTGTTGGCAGAAAGAGCCGCAGTACCTTGCAATGTTGCAGCCACTGCACGTCTCACTTGCCTTCCTACCACAGTTCCAACAGCTCTGAAATGTTAAATATGAAAACAAATGTTATAAATATACATGTATGTTCAAATACAAACATACAAATTATCACTAGAGATATCAAAGGATTCCTCCGATCTGGTAATTTTTGTATACAATTTTATATTGTTTAACAGATGCAGACCTCTCCATTTTATTGACACGTGGAAGTACAAGTACAATAAAACTGTCCATCTAAAAACCCAGGTGTGGGACTAGGCCATTTAACAACTGAATTTAAACTTGAAATAGTTTAAATGAATTTCACAAAATATAAGTGTTCCTGGTTCTAAATAATCTGAGAGGTCCTGGTGTTGGCAGTCAGTGCACAGGCAAACCCAGGATTTTGCTGTGGGTGGAAGGGGTGGGGAAGGATATACACATATATATTTTTGCATTACTTCAATCAGAATGCATACAAAACAATAGACGGGGAACTAAGAACAAAGTGACACAGATCCCATCCCTTCTTCTCTCTCTATTTTTGTTGGGGAGGAGGAGGGAGGCAGTAGAGGGCCTAGTAGAGAGAAGAGGGTGTAATGCCCCCTGGATCTGCTATACTGCTAATCTTGACATAACCAGCAAAGAGATGCCTGAACTTCAGAACATCAAGGTTTTTAAAAATTTGGAAATGTGTCTTGCCATAAAAAAAAAAAAAAAAAAAAAAAATAGTGGTTGCTGAGCAAAGGAGGAAAGGAAAAGGGAGTGGGGGAACCTAGTTAGCTGGGATTTATATCCAACTTACTATAGAGTGCTAAGCACTTGAGTTGGAGTCATTGAGGTGTGTTCCTACCTCACTCGATTCATCTTGAGTGTTCACCATCGTCAAAATTTCCTCCTGGGTCTGTTTCCGTGCATCTTTGACAGCACGCTCCATCTTTGCACGCTCCTCGCGGACAAGATCAGTAGCTTTGGCCTCAGCAGCAGCTACAGCTTTCTGCAACTCAGACACTGCTTGGCGTTTGACTTCATTCACTGCTTCCTCTGGAAATTAGACACATGGTTCATTTTATCTTCATTGCAGTTTTAACAATTACATTTTTGCTACTAAACTGGCACTCATTCATTTCACATATGATCAGCAATTTTGTAGTATCTTTTCTGTAGAATAAAACAAGAATTTTTTCACAAAAAATCTACTAACTTAAAAACACATTTATACTACTGTGCTGGAATGTATTAAATGCAATCAGTCCGTAAAATGTATCAATCAATTGGAATTCTTTTACTTAATTTTTCATACATTTATTGGAATACACTATGATAAGATGGCTTATCTTTTAAAGAACTACAGTTACATATTTGCTTATAGCCATTACTGAGGAAGAGTAACGGTTTACCCTGATTCGTACCTGCCCTCCTTTTGACCTCCGTTACTCTGTCCTCGGTCTGTCTCAGCGTGTGTGCCATCATTTCATTGGTGCGTTTCTTCATGTCCTGGTCGACCCCCTCTGCATGTCTGCGCATCCAGGTGTGCAGTTCTTCGCGATCGCGCTGGCAGCGCTCGCGCAGCACATCAAGAGCGCGTCTTGTTTTGTCCACCATTCCCACAATGCAGTGCAACATCTGAAAGAAAAAGTCAGTTCGTTTATCAATATGACGAAAGAATAAATAAATAAATACAATATGTCATACCTACATATTAAGACTTTTCAAGGAATGTCTAAAAAGATCAATCTCATTAAAATATAATGCAGTCAACTCTGTCTCAATACAAAGGACTGATTACACAGCCTCAAAATGATACATGAAAAGATGGCCAAAATCTCTTCAGAAATGAGAGATGGTACTGCAGTACTAAAACTTCTACATTTCTATGTCTAAGAGTAACACCTATTTCTATAAGAAGTGGGGCACACTCCTTCACAAATATTTCATATTCCCATTTAGTATTGTGCTATTTTCAAATGGCCAATTTTTACTACTCAAAAGAGTAGACTTGATAAAAGAGAGATTGTCATATAGAATTAATGCTTTTTTCTTCCTCACAGCAAAACAATCCTTCATTCATCCATTCATCTATTAAATCACACCATTGAATATATTATAACTAACTTACAATGTAGCCTGCAGTATGAATAGATGTATATACAATTACAAGCCCATTCAGTCTCTCAGTAAAAAAAAAAATGCAGGTAGGAAGTAGTACATAAGTCTACAAAACTTGCAAATTCATTTGTATACCGTAATCACTCAAAAATTTCAAGCACTTCACTCATTTCAACATGTCCCTTTATCAGATTCCATCATTTTCAGTTGTAAACAAAAGGGTACTTTTTCACAAAATAGACTGCAAAAAAAAAAAAAAAAAGAGAGAATTAGGCTGAGTAAAAAATAAACTGGTGAGAATGCGACCAATACAGGGCAGAACTAATCCAGGTTGTAGTTTGTGTGAACAGGGCTTTACCTATACAATTCAAACATGAGTTGGCATACGGGCTCTAGCCCCATACTATGCTAGACTCCATAGTGTGTATTCAATCATTCAGCAGAAAGATGCTGGTGTTTTGCATAATTACACATACGTTTCCCATGGTTTAGCTATATTTACTGGTGGCTCATATTACTGTGTTAATTGTAGCGCGATGGTAACTTCAATTCCATTTCAACTCCCTAAATCAGTCGAGTAGAAAATTTTAAGCTTTTACCTGAAGCCATATTGCATCATACACTGTATATATAGTAACATCAATAGTAACTTTATTGGTTTTAAGTTTGTCATATGACACAACTGGGTGCTTTATTCTAAAACTACCCGCGTGGAAGTATCAGTATAGCAGAGCAGTTGTTTTTGTCACTTTATACTAGGCACTGGGCTGGGCAACTTAGGGATTAGATTGGCTTTTTATGGTTAGTAATCCCAATGACATCATTTGATGGGAAATGGTATACAAACTGTTTTCCAATGGTTCAAAATCAAAATTAAATGGCCAGCTGAGATACAAACCAAGTCTGCCACACATTTTGAAATATAAGCTAGGTAATAAAATAACTATATTTGAAATTTTATATATGTTTTAAAAATCATATAATGAAGTCAAATTATATGCTCACATTATCAATGTGTTTCCAGTCATCATCAATACGGTCTATATGATCCATGTACGCCTCTGGTCTCTGAAATGCTGAAATGCACAAAATATATATTTAAATTCACAAAACAAGTTAGGGTAGTTCAAGTAAAATGAAGAAAATTTAAGCCCAAATTTGACCTGTGTGGTAAATTGTGACTATTTAAAACACACATTTTTTTAAAATAAAAATTAACAAGTACATAAAGCTATGAAAGGTAATATTCATTCATAAAAAGACACACTTTGGCAATTCAAATCTACCAATGTGTTAAGTAAAATAGAAACAACCCTGAAAAATACACAAAAAAAGACAAAATACTGACATCTAAAAGGTTATGAAATAATTATGTTAGACTCACCATAACCACTTAAATGTCTTTCTCTATCTTGTAATCTCATCTGAAGCTCCCTTTCCCGCTGTAACCTTTCACGCTCCTCCCGTTCCCTCATTTCTCTTAAATCATCCAATCGGATTGGCCCATTTGTGTTGATGCTGAGTGTGCTCTGCGGGCTGACGCGGCTGGTATTACTGGCAGGACTGATGGACCTAGGATGTTTGGCAGGAGGGTAACCCTCGGGACTAGGCGTGCAGCCATTTTCTTTGGAACTGAAAATGAGAAAAGAGAATCTGATTGCCTGAAGTAATTTGAGGAGAACAAATTCAAAACAACAAATTTTAGATATAAAGAAAATCATATTTTTCTTTAAATGAATATGTCCTCCCTTCTTACAAGAAAACTTTACACCCAACTAATAATTTAACAAAATCAAATCTTCAAATCTTAAATGTAATAAAACAAAATTTTGTTAAAATNAAAAAAAAAATGCAGGTAGGAAGTAGTACATAAGTCTACAAAACTTGCAAATTCATTTGTATACCGTAATCACTCAAAAATTTCAAGCACTTCACTCATTTCAACATGTCCCTTTATCAGATTCCATCATTTTCAGTTGTAAACAAAAGGGTACTTTTTCACAAAATAGACTGCAAAAAAAAAAAAAAAAAGAGAGAATTAGGCTGAGTAAAAAATAAACTGGTGAGAATGCGACCAATACAGGGCAGAACTAATCCAGGTTGTAGTTTGTGTGAACAGGGCTTTACCTATACAATTCAAACATGAGTTGGCATACGGGCTCTAGCCCCATACTATGCTAGACTCCATAGTGTGTATTCAATCATTCAGCAGAAAGATGCTGGTGTTTTGCATAATTACACATACGTTTCCCATGGTTTAGCTATATTTACTGGTGGCTCATATTACTGTGTTAATTGTAGCGCGATGGTAACTTCAATTCCATTTCAACTCCCTAAATCAGTCGAGTAGAAAATTTTAAGCTTTTACCTGAAGCCATATTGCATCATACACTGTATATATAGTAACATCAATAGTAACTTTATTGGTTTTAAGTTTGTCATATGACACAACTGGGTGCTTTATTCTAAAACTACCCGCGTGGAAGTATCAGTATAGCAGAGCAGTTGTTTTTGTCACTTTATACTAGGCACTGGGCTGGGCAACTTAGGGATTAGATTGGCTTTTTATGGTTAGTAATCCCAATGACATCATTTGATGGGAAATGGTATACAAACTGTTTTCCAATGGTTCAAAATCAAAATTAAATGGCCAGCTGAGATACAAACCAAGTCTGCCACACATTTTGAAATATAAGCTAGGTAATAAAATAACTATATTTGAAATTTTATATATGTTTTAAAAATCATATAATGAAGTCAAATTATATGCTCACATTATCAATGTGTTTCCAGTCATCATCAATACGGTCTATATGATCCATGTACGCCTCTGGTCTCTGAAATGCTGAAATGCACAAAATATATATTTAAATTCACAAAACAAGTTAGGGTAGTTCAAGTAAAATGAAGAAAATTTAAGCCCAAATTTGACCTGTGTGGTAAATTGTGACTATTTAAAACACACATTTTTTTAAAATAAAAATTAACAAGTACATAAAGCTATGAAAGGTAATATTCATTCATAAAAAGACACACTTTGGCAATTCAAATCTACCAATGTGTTAAGTAAAATAGAAACAACCCTGAAAAATACACAAAAAAAGACAAAATACTGACATCTAAAAGGTTATGAAATAATTATGTTAGACTCACCATAACCACTTAAATGTCTTTCTCTATCTTGTAATCTCATCTGAAGCTCCCTTTCCCGCTGTAACCTTTCACGCTCCTCCCGTTCCCTCATTTCTCTTAAATCATCCAATCGGATTGGCCCATTTGTGTTGATGCTGAGTGTGCTCTGCGGGCTGACGCGGCTGGTATTACTGGCAGGACTGATGGACCTGGGATGTTTGGCAGGAGGGTAACCCTCGGGACTAGGCGTGCAGCCATTTTCTTTGGAACTGAAAATGAGAAAAGAGAATCTGATTGCCTGAAGTAATTTGAGGAGAACAAATTCAAAACAACAAATTTTAGATATAAAGAAAATCATATTTTTCTTTAAATGAATATGTCCTCCCTTCTTACAAGAAAACTTTACACCCAACTAATAATTTAACAAAATCAAATCTTCAAATCTTAAATGTAATAAAACAAAATTTTGTTAAAATCAATAAAGTTTCCTTATATATTTGCAAGAAAACTACTGGTATATATATATATATATATATATATATATATATATATATATATATATATATGCTTCTAATGACTTAACAACAGATACTGCTTTGAACCAGTCTTTTACGGTTGGTTTTTGGTAAAATTTTGTGCATACACTCTGAATAACATACAGTGTATTGGAATTACATAAAATCCCCTTACCCATCAGGGGACAGCCGCCGTTTGCCATTCTCATTAATCTCAGGTCCCAGCATGTCCTGGGGCTCCAGAGGCGAGTGTGTTGGGTCGAACAGAATGTGTTCGTTGTGTGCCAGGTATTGCTGCGGGGTTTGTTTTGCCATGCGGGCACAGTGAAGGAGTTCACGCTGTAGCAGGGGCAAATTTGCCTGAATAAAGAATACATCAAAGTCACAAGTGAAGGATAGATAAATATTCTGCTTGCCATATGAAGAAATACAGAGAATTATGTCTCCTGCTTTCACCAACAATATATCTAAACAATGTTTTCTTGAAAACTTCCTTATGAGAGATGTAAATGTGTGTGTGTGTGTGTGTGTGTGTGTGTGTGTGTGTGTGTGTATGTATGTGTGTGGGTTATAACAAAGTAAATTCTTAATTGGGTGTATTCGTTTTAAACCACAAGAAATAATACTTTTGCTGTCACTTCTTGGGCCCAGGGTCTGATATGAACCAATTTTATTTACATTTACAGTATGTGCATCAGATCATTTGTAAAACAGGAAAGTCAAATCTTAGTTTCAAATCTGAAAACTGCTATCATGTGACCTATGACACCTTAAAGAGAGCAAGGATAAAATGAAGTGTGTGTATCAAAGCAGAAAAAAAAAATCTTATTTCAGACCAGCATCCACGGTTACCTTTAGAAATGGGATGACAAAAGGCCTGAGAGGAAAATTGGTAGCTTCCTGCAATTTGCTGTGGAATTCTTCAATAGAAAGATGATTATTCTGAAATGTAATAAAATTGTATTGAGAAGTCAATTAATTTTTTACGTATAAAATTCAATTTTTTTTATTTGATTGTAAGAAGTATTTCATTGAAAGAAACTGAGACTCCGATGCACTTCAAACAAGCATTTTTGTTGGTGATTCTTCGCAAAAGACTTTTTTTAGAAAACACAGTATCTTGATTTACACATGTATTAATATATTTCAATACACCTTAGTTATTTTGCATATAAATGCTAAATATTTCATTTCTCTGAGTAGACTTATACCTTTTATTTCTACAGTTCTTTTTGTTTTCTCTCATAAATCATACATATACTTTGAATGAACTGAAACCCCTATATCATAACTTACAACAAGTGCCAGTACGAGGCTTCGTACACGTTCCCCGATTTCTGGTGATATATCAGAGCCAAACTGCTGCAAGGTCGTCAGAAATCTTTTCAGTTTGCTGAGTTGTCGAGCGCCACAGGCTGGTGGCAGCTGCTGCGAGGAGGTTGAATTTCCCATAGATGGTGGTGATGGCGTGCGGCCATTGGTGCTACTGTGTGGGGAGTGACTGCCATTCATGCCTTCAAAGATGGAAAAAATATTTTGCTTTATAAGAATAAATAAATTTAAACTGGGTTCCCATACTAACAGGATCGATCCATCTCCAAGGGGTGTCTTACTAAATTGGTTTCAGCTTAAGCAGCTTAGATGTCTGGCATGCCTACTGAAGCTGCTTAATGATAACTAATTACCCCCTAGCAGCTTCAGTAGGTGTGACGGACATCTAAGCTGCTTAAGTTGATTGCAATTTTGCCAGAATCCCCTTGGAGATAGATTGATCCAAAGTATGTACGATAGGGTCTGGGAATGGTTCCTAAAGCAACTTGAACAATATGAATTCTAACCAGGAATAATAAGGTAAAACTGGCTGTCACTGAAGCTAAAGATTTTCTCTTTTGACACACTATCTGATGCCCTATTAAAACAAAATGGAAAATTTTACCATCCTGCCGCACTCAAAAATGACAAAAGGAATACAAGATTATATTTTATAAGCAAACACTCATGCTGACAGACACTAAATAAAACAGTTTGTTTCCTTTGATAATTCATGGGACATGCATGCAAACACACACTGGCATACACACATGCACCTTTTTGGAGTACTCATAATGAAAAAATAAAATACACAATAATAAGAAGAAATATGAGAAAAAAGCTTAACTTGATACATTGTATCATATGATAATGAAAATTGAATGTTAAAGACATGAACAAGTAACCTGTTGCTCATTTGTTTAACTTTCATTAATGTTTTACATCCAAATGTCAAATATATAGGGCCTCTAGAAAATGAAAATCAGTTGTGTGATATACCGTAAGTTTCATCATATGTTTATGTGGGCTTTCATTTTCATATGATGATATATTTAATGATTAATTTTCTATAAACAAACCTTTTCCACATCTTTAACTTTAAAATTTAAATATTTATTTATAAAAAAAATATCTCAATCTACTTCTAAATTTTCCTCTCCATTCAGAAAGGTTATTTACACTTCATAAATTTAGGTTGCAAATTAATTTCAAAAAGGACATTCGACTGCAATATCCCCTTCTGAAATCCTTCCCTCCAATGAGTGGTGATTGTTTAACTTTGGAACTTCAGATCAATTGCATAGCAGGGGATGACAGGTTTACTTTGAATCCTGATCTGACCTTGACCGGACCTTGACCCAACCTGACCTTGGCCTTACCCACCCAAACCCAAACATGGCTGATTTCACAAATTAGAGAGCCATTATCAGACAACTGCTCTAAATATCAAAATAAAAGTTTTTGGGATCCCTTCATATGCTGTCTAAACTGGAGTGGAACAGAGTTAAGTTTACATTTCATCTAGCTGCAACATCTGGTACTCCATATTTCTGAGGGCTTCTCATAAAAAAATCATATCATGCTGGATTATAGCTGTGCAAAACCTGCTGCTGCAGTACAATTTAAGGTTACTGCTGTTGTTCTAAAGATGAAAGAGTGGAACTGTTTTATAGTTATCATTAGCACTAGCACTTAAATTGTTTTTCCCAGCATCAGAAATAACTTTATGGGCACAGAAATTAGTTCAGTGTCAAGGCTTTTGGTAAATTTTTGCTTTACTGCATTGAAATAGTAACTTAAATCTTTGTTTTTCCCAGCAACAGAGGTAACTTAATGGGCACAGAAATTAGTCTAATGTGAAAGCTTTTGGTAAATTTTCATCTCACTGCATTGAAATCTCAACTTAAATCTTCAGGACTCTTGATAGTTCAAATTTTCAAGGTGTACAAATCAAAAGATAAGGGGACAAAATAAGAAAAAGAAAAAAACTACCTGCTTCATCAAGTGTTTTCAGCATGATGCATGCAAGTTTATTATTTGGAGAGAATTTCAATAGGACACCTGACTTTCAAATGATAATGACATTCACTCAGATAATTTTCACTGGGATAAAGATATGATTACCAAAATGGGATGACCTAATGTCTAGAGCTCCATCAAGCATGTTCACAAATAAGGAAGACTGGTATAAATTACATCATTATCTCAATAATCAATTGAATTCAAATTGAAAATATGATACTTTGTAATCAGGGATAAGATCAGAGAAAGCTTAAAAAAACAGCACAACTCTCTTCTTCCCCTGACGTTGTCCCAGTTTTGAATATTTCACACAAAATCCAACCTTTTCTAGCTTTTTAACTCTCTTTCACACATGAGTACTGTAGGATATATCATCCAAACAGAGGGAAATTCGCTTCCCTGGCTATCCCCGCCGTCTGCAGGGAGGCTTCACTTCATCTCACACTCAGTTTTACAAAGACGCATAGGGGAAGCGAGCAGCTCTTCCCTCGACTGCACTTGGGCCTCGATTCAAAAGAACCAGCATTTTACTTTATAATTCATGAATGATATTTGTAACCCAAGGTTTAGAAAATGGTCTATTTACCTTGGCTTTGATTGAATTTCAGTAAATCTATAGATTTAAGTCAAACGGTCAACTCAAGGGATGTGTATTCTCAGTTTGGCCTGAAAGCATTTCAATTCAACTGTGAAATGCTGGAATGGAAAAGAGCTTGCAAGAGATGGTGGGAAAACCAGCCATGGGAAGATAAACAACAATTCTTATACAATGAAAAATATGTTTTTTCTTTGTTTTCTTTTTTAAAAGAATCATTACTTTTCTCCTTTTGAGTGAATTTTAAAGAACATGTATCTATGATTGTACAGAGATATTTCAGTCTTGATTTTTTCACAACTTTAATCTCAGACAAAAAACTACCCCAAATTTAATCATAAAAATATATTGTTGAAAGTACTGATATATTTCTCTTGTTCTTTAGCTGATAGAAAAAGTATGAAACTTACTATCACATTATTTTATCCTTACAGGAGTATATAAATGTCACCACTTTCATTTAATTAGGACTGCAATAATAAGCTTTCAATATTTTTTTTATCATTTTGTTCATTCCAAAGCTAATATATTGTCTTTAATTTTAAATTTTATTCACTTTCTCCAGTGTTTGCAATTTAAATGTTCCAACATGGGATTTTGAAGTAAACCGATGCAAACCTATCATATAACATTATTGCTTTACAGATTTCAAAAAATCCCCTACACTTTGATATCATCTTTGCAGACTGGTAAATTGGGATAATGTCAAACATTATTACTAAATTTTGTAGTAAAATACCATCAGATTCAAATTATCAGAGTTTTTTCTTTTGCTGAAAGTGCACAAAAGCCAAAGCACATGTAGTAATGTGTGTAAATTTTTTCCAACACAATTGTAGAAAAAAATGAAATTGAGAACTGATGTGGGCAAACCAACAGGATTTTGTCCATGATTGTAATTATGTCTACAACAATTATCTGCATATTATTTCACGGTTTAGAAAATACAATGTCATAAAAAACTTATTTATGGTTGATATCCTAAATTATCACAGAGTTAAGGTTTTATATCTATTTTTGACCAAAATACTTTTTTTCCAAAAAAAAATGGGTCTTTTTTTCTTTATCTAGTGAGTACAGAACTTTCTCTCATTATATTTTTTAGTTAAACAAACAAACAATCAAATACAGACAAATTAACATGATAAATAAACTGTTTGCTATGCAAACATAGGAATAAACCCTGTTTCCCTTCACAACATTCCTGACATCCCCCTTTTTTTGAATATCTAACAAAATCCAGCCAACCATACTAATTTTTATTCAAATAATGAAAAAAAAAGGCTCAAAAAGGAAGAAAATTCCCATCATAACTACACTATTGAAATGAAAAAGGAAGTAACGCTCAAAAAGGAAAAAAAAATGCCATCCCAGCCATTCAGACAGCACTTCTTCCCAGAGATGGTGCTCCCATAGATTCTTTACAACTTTCATTCAAATAAAAAAGGAAATAACCCTCAAAAAGGAAGAAAATTCCCAATTCCTGCCTTCCAGACTGAGGTTAAGTTCTTACCAGACATGGTGCTTCCAGTGGAGAGTGACCTTGGTGGTATGGCCATGAGATTACCTGGAGGCGACGGTTGTGTTAGAGGCTTTGACTCAGGGGAATCGGGCATGTCAGATTCACGGTAATCTGAAAAGATAAAGGAAAGCCATTTCAATTTTTGCTCGTCACATACAAAATATCTTAAGACAATGAAAAACTGTTTATCCATCAAAACATTTTATGCTTTAATTTCAAGGTGATTATCTGCAGGCAAAACAGATCATTTCATCCTGAAAAAAAATATTGTTACATGCATTTGTGACCCACTAAACCACAATTAATTTTAATTAAGTTTTCTATCAAATTCAGCATTCATAGACTCATGCAAGAACCTACGTGGTTGAGTTGTTGCCATTTCTTAATTTTTTTCCCATGGGAATGCATTTATATCTATTTCCAATCTTTGCTCTTTCCTTGTCTTTTTTCCTAAAAGACAAGTTATCAAAGTCTCTTTTGTGACAGTATTATTGTCCTTAGTTTCTTTCACACCTAGAATTGTTTCCCTGTCTTCAGCATTTAACAGACTATCAATTTCTTATCCTTCGTATCCTCTTTCAGATTGTTTTTTTATCTGCGTCTTTCTTTTCTCCAACTCTGGCTCTGTCAGAAAATCATTTCCAAGCTGTATTGGAGGTTTGTTTTTCTTGTTTCACTATTTTGTACTCAAACCATGTCCTCCAACACTTATTTTTCTAAGTCTGGATTCCTTCTCCTGCAATTTGCTTATCAGAAGCAAATCAATTGAGTTTGAGGCACCAGCAATTTTCTGTTCAGAATGTTAGTTGCCTAGCTGGCTGGCCTGGCAAAACTAAGCTCTCTCTCTTTTGTTGACGCTTAGCTAGTAATATGTTTGTTTCATCTTAAAGCAGAAAATGCTGGTACATTTCTACCCCCTTTAACAGACGTCGAGTCACCTCCATATCACCAGAAGTAATCAGAAATTCCTCATCACGTGCATGGAGCAATTCACATGCACAAGTCTGATTAAGCTGTACTGGAATGTTTTCTGCTATACTAAATCATAGTTAATTATGGGGTGAATTTTTAATTTTTTGTTTGACCAGAAACTACCAAAGCCCTGTTTTCCTCAATAGCTTGCTCAATGCTCAGGTGATAAAATTCAGCATGTCAAAACTCCAACCCGCATCTGAAAGAGGTTGATTCACTACTGTCACTACTCTGGTACAGTGGATGCCAAAATTATATTACCTTCATAGAATTTGTCAGTTTCCAAGTTGCTGTGATTGTAGAGCAAGGGTAGTAGCAAATATTCCGCAATAAGACTGTTAAGATTATGCGCGCATTTGTGACTGTTGGTTTCTACTATGTTTACAAGCAATTTTGCCCTGACACTCAACAACCGATCTGTTCATTTTAAGAACTCTTAATGCTGACATCCCGCTTGCTACAGCTAACTGGTAGACAAATACAGACATGAGGGTACTGTCACAGGGTGTTACAAAATTCTGCAACAGAAAAGACTGTATACTTCTGTTCAGTAGCTAAACAAGTGCTATGGCACCAATGAATGGTGTCTCAAAGGGTCAGTAACTTTTGTCCCATTGCTGTGCTGCACATAGGCAAGAACCATTCAGTCATTAATTCTTATCATGTAAACAAATCTTTCAACTGGTTTTTAGTGCACAAGAACTTTTGTCCCATTGCTGTGCACTTAGGCAAAAGCCACACAGTCACTCTTATCACGTTAAAAATTTTTCTACTGGTTAGTGTACCAGAATTGCACATTACAGTGCACACTTGAAGCAAACCTTTAAAATTCAAGATATGAGACAGTTAAAAAAATGGTCATCTCTTGGCTTGCGAACCAAAATCAGAAGCAAAAAGATATCATCATAAAAAGAGTTTTTCAATTGAACAAGCCTCTCCATTCCCTGAATTTGCATTTTACGATGATAGATGGAATCGTTAATGCTCACTACCTATGCTACTCTTTTGAATGATTTTCAAAGATTAGTCCTTTTAATCATTCTCATCTGAAATACAAGTCCACATGCTGGTATTTATATATACATAAATACTTACTCCTTTTCTGTATCTCTTCTGAAAGAAATCTTTTCTTGCTTTCAAACCACAAAAATATGTGTACCCATTTTCTCCATCTAGTTCTTTTATTCTTGTCATCAACATCAAACTGGCTAAAATAACATCCATTTCTGAAAAGGTACACAAATCTTTTTACGTCCCTTAACTTGATCCCACAATAAATATGTACCCTTTCTTTTTAAATGCTGTGAACTTATGCTACTGGGGCCAACAGTGAGTCCTAAAATGTTTTTTTAACCTGAAGGGGGAGGGGTGAGCTTAATCTTTCTTAGGAGAATTGGTACAATTTGTGGAAAAATGAAGGTAGGTATTTTATTTCATTCAATTTCAAATATCCTTTTTTTGATGATATCAATGTGAGCAAGAGAAGAACATAAAATAATGTTCTTCATAAACTGACTAGACAGTGGGAGCTAAAATTCATTTTTTTTTCTATTTCTGAATTTATTTATTTATTTATTTATCTATTTATTTATTTATTATCTTGAGGGGGTGCTAAACATCTTATGCCTCACTATTCCATAAAATTTTACTATGTGATACTTTAATAATGGTGTTTTTCTGTGCAAATAAAGTTCAATTCATGCTATCACATGTTTTGGGTCAAATGAATCTACAATACAGATCATTTTTCATAAATCTGTAATGAAATATTAGACATCTGACGAGTATTGAGATTGATTGGGTCTAGGCTGGATACAAGTTTATACTAGCGCATATTAATGTTTGATGGATGCATATTTGTATCAAAACACTGATAAAAGATGAGGTAGAGCTTCATGACTGCAAAACAGCAGACAAGGTGATATGTGCATTTAAAGTATACAGTGTACATGTATGTGCATATTTTTTTTCATTGTAATATTTCTTTCACAACTTATCAATAAAGACAAGCAGGATCAACTAGTCAGTATGTCTGATAACACTCCAGAGCACTTGTTCCCATTTCTCTTTTCTCCTCAGCTTTAACCTCTTCCAGATTTACAAACTGCTGGTAGCATTTTGGTATCATAAAAACCCGACCACCGCCATCTTGGAAACAAAGATGTCCTCAAACCACTACAAAAGGATAATTATGATGACAAAAGGGGGATACTGGTATATTTTCTTTACTTGCAAAGAAAACTGTTGGATGAAGATTTAATGTAAAAGAATTACAAACTCTGACACAGATTTTTTGCTGGCATTATCAATAACTAAACTTTTTTCCTTTTAGTGGGGGGTGGGGGGGGGTGGCAGGTTGTTGTCAGTGCCACTTTTTGATATTTCTATTTTTCCCTTTTCAAACTGAAACAATTTACCAGATTAGAATATCTTCAAACTGAAATCACAATACCACAATTAAAAACAACTACCTTTTTGAAAGATTTTCAATGCTACTTCAAACATTCATACAAGTTGCGCAAAATACAGGCATGAGGACTTGTTTCCATATTCCCCATTTAAAATAATAAAATGTAAAAAATAGTCCATCAACAACCCATTAAAAAGCAAGCCATCCTAAATTGCAAGCCAGGCTTGAAAATTGGTTTTACTGTGACAAAAGACTTCTCTGAAAAATATATGGTCAAAGTTGTTGACAGTATTTCTCCCAATTCAACTGAGTAAAAAAGGTTTATTTATTTCTACTTAAGAGACCAGTGAAAATTGCATCCATGGGATGCAGGTAGGTGACTCAGGAGTGATTATATAGCATTTGACAATACCAAAACTCAAACTAAACACAAATTCCATGCGGGTATTTAGGTCAAAGGTCAATTTAAATAGGGGGCACTAGTTGTGGCACCTTGACTCGCTGATAATTTTTAAACTTTTCTCTTTAACCAAGTTCTTATTCTTAAATGAAATTGATGAAAATCATTTATTTATCTTTTTAAGTTCTTTTTGATAACAATTAATGTGGATTCATGGGACAATCCCAAACAATTAAAGGGATTAGTTTTTTCTTCCTTAGAGGAAATGAAGGTTATTTGGTATGAAAAGACCACCTACATGTACCATTTTAAACTTTTCACCACTGAGACTAACATACCTGTGCTCGTACAATTATCAGCTTTTTAGGGAAACATTATAGTTGTAAGAGGGCCATGCTTATAAAGAGGAATACCACCCACTTGGAAAAATTTACCTTTCTAAGTGGTATTTCTATATAACACAATCATCTCATAAATTAAACTTTTCAAAAGAATTCTTTGCCTTGCTTACCTGCTTAATTTCACAGTTAAAAAACACTACAACTGTTTTTATTTTGTTAGGATACATTATCACCAATTTCATTAGTTTTAAATTTCTAAAATCAATGAAGAACATTTTTTTTCAGAAGAAGTACTGGAACACACCCTGCCAATCAATCAATCAAATTAAAATAGCAGTTTAAATGTGTTCATTCTGTAAAATTACATCCATCACAAATTCTTGAACTGCTCCCCCCCCCCTATTCATGGTGATACCCAGCCACCAATTTTCACTGTATCTGTCCCCTATCCTTAGTTACGTCTGAGAACAAAATTGATATGGGTGTTCTACCATGTCTGCTTCTATAACCACCTGTATACTGCCTGACATGTCCTTTCCATGCAATGGCAAGGTTTCATGGGCATTGGGAGCTAGGTCAATAACCCTATCATTACACACACAGGGGCGGATCCAGACATATTTTCTGACAGGCTTCTAAATTATCTTTATTGATCCATCCCCCATTTTGACCGTCTTCTGACAGGAAAAATTAGATACCCGTCAATGTAAACTAGAAAATCTGACCGTCTTCCAAAAGACCCAGAAGACGGCCTAAATCCGCTCCTGCACACATACACACACACACACACACACACACACACAGAGAGAGAGAGAGAGAGAGAGAGAGAGAGAGGGGGGAGAGGGAGGGAGGGGGAGAAAGAAAGAGAGAGAGAGAGAGTTCCAAAATTTTCCCTTGCCTAACAAATTATCCACTAGAGTACTTATCACTTACATAAGTATTGAACACGAGGAGGAGGAGGAGGAGGAGGAGGAAGCATTATAGAACA